GTTTGGATGCACAAGACCTCAGGGACTGCTTGACTTTTGGATGTGGTGACATTGCAGCCTTTGGCAATGCCAGGTTGAGCTGCAGATGTAAGACATTGATGCAATATGTGATGACCCTGTTTCATCCAAAGCAGAGCAGTTATGTTTCTCCTCGGGCTGGGTTTTGGTTGCTCAGACTCTGTGGGCTCCTAATTTGTTGATCTCTCTTCTGTCATCTTTTTTTCCTCTCTTTCATACCTTTTAGAAGGAGTCTTGAACTCTCCCAGGCTTTTCTAACACCGTTTTTTGATGCCAGGAGCAAATAGACATTCACTCCTTGCAGGATTTCCTGCCTGATTTCCCAATGCAGAACTTGGGATCAGAACCCTGCAAGAGCTTGTCCTACCCTTGTCATTCCCTCTATCCTCCTTAAGAGAGGCCAGGAGAGGCAGCTGAGTAAATAATGTGCTGTTTTGGAGCCACATCCCTGCCAGTTTTACAGCCCTCCCAGGCTATAAGGTGCTGTGGAGTCTGACATAAATCACTCAGTGTTTGGGGTTAATGATGCTCTGATAACTTCAAGCATCCTTTTTAATGTATATTTTAGCACAGCATGGACTTGTTTAGCTCAGAATGTGAATATGACTGAATATTGTGTTTGTTTTCCTTTTGCATAGCAAAATCCAGAGGTTATTCTAGCTGGACCTATTAATGCCACTCAGTTGCTTCCTGCTAACTGCTCCATTAGTGTCTGTCAGCATAGCACCTTCTCTGCTCAGCACCTCCTTGCAGACAAGACAGCTTTGCTGGCAGAAGGGAGAGGCTTTAAAAAGCAGCTTGCACCAAAAAAAAGTAAATAAAGAGGCAAAATGTCAGGATGTTCCCAGCTGAGATGCCCTGCGAGGTTGGTGCTGCAGTGGTAGCTGTGAAGAAATGCAGATGTGACAGGTGGTTGACAGTTTGGTCTCTGCCTATAATCCTTCCGAGCTGGTGGCAGACACTTGCTTAAATATAGTGATTATCATGAGAAACCTCTCCCTGAAAGTGTTATTTACATCCACTCTCACACGTGGTGTGTCTGGATCCTTTCCAGTCATTTCAGAGGACAAATAGCATAGGTCAAGGCTCGTGGAATCATCATAATGGATTAATATACTAATAAAACATACCAGAGAGGCTGAAAAAAATAGACTAGAGTCTGAATAAAGCAGAGCAGAGTCTGAATAAAATAGACTCCAAAGCCTGGGGCAAACTGCATTTGCTAAAGCATTTGGTAAAATGGGCTGAGGTAGCTGTTTGAGCTGAAGTAAATCAGGGAGAAGTTGCCTTTGGGTGAGTGAAGGGTTGGCTCAAAAGCAGCCTTTGGACTGGATTTCTCTGCCTAGAATACAGACTTATAGCTCCCTGGGCATCCTTCTGCTTTGACTCTGTGCCTCCTGTCCAGAAATAAGCAATACATTACTGGGAGCGAGGTGCTAGCCACCTTCTAGACATGCAGGCATTACTTTTCTTGGCCCAGAGAAATGATAGATCCAAGAGAAAATAAATAGGAGAATAAAGAAAGTTGCTGGGAAAAAAATGGTTTTGTCTGAATAATTAATTCCTCAGCAAATTTTCTCATCATAAAGCATGTCCTAATGAGCTAGCAGGAGGAGAGGAAATTCATCACTTACCTCACAAATATCAACTTGAGAGCACTGCTCCTGTCAGGTGGCATAATGAATGGCTTCAGAAGGAGTGTGGAGCAGCACAGCCAAACCCACAGTCCCCATCAGTCATTCCACATCAGTCCAAATCATACCATGTTACTTGATCTACAGAGGATTAGCCAGGCAGCTAAGAAGGAGATATGGGGCTGAAGGGAATACAGGCAAATACAGTACATCTAATCTTGATTTATCCAGCTTGGTTTTCTGCTTATCACCGAGGTGCCATGGCAGTTGATTGTGCAGCAGGTTTTATTTTTGGGATTTTTTTTTTCCAGAAAAAGAGAATATATGAACTTTGAACTTCACCCTCCCTGATGCTGAGCACAACACCTTCAGTCCCATGTCAGCACATGGTGTAGCAGGATGTTCTGCCTTGGAATGGGGTAAACCACCCTGTTTGCAAAGCCACCAAAGGGGCATCATGCTGCTTTTGGGGTTGGATAATGCTGATACCAACCTGACTCATCAATCCCAAAGTTTAACATCCTGAGAGTGAGATGAAGATATGGTAAACCTGGTAAAGGAACAAATAATACTACTGATAGCTTTATATAAATATCTCTGGTTTGCCATCCTTCATCCCCGCAGGACAAAGTTGGACAAATGTTCAGTTCCACCTGTATAATCCTTTAGACATAAACCACAGACACAGTCTAGGGCTGGGATTGGATCCAGCCCCTCCAGGCTGCTCTCTGAGTTCAGAAATTAAGGAGGTCCCTTCTGCACCTTCTGACTCTATGTGAGCTTCTCTAACAGACTTTGAGTGGAGCTCCCACTCTGCCCACGACACAAGGTCCCCTTGGGGATTCTTCCCTTCAGGAGGTAGGTTCAGTTCCTTGCAGAAAACCTGTGTGGGTGCCCTGGGGCAGGTGAGGCCTCTCTGAACTGTGGGCAGGAGGCCCAGGATGTTGTGTTCAAGGTGATGTTGATCATGACTGGAAGATATTTGGACACCCAAGTCTTTCTGCTCATTGTGTCTTCTGAAACTCTCCATTAAATACTCACTTGAGTCCCTTCAGCAGCAAAGAGAACTTGAGCTGCTCTGCAAGTGACCCTCATGTTCAGCTCTGCACTAATCCTCCTGCAGCAGAGTCCTGTGGTTGCTGGTGGTAAGATCTGAGCACTGAGCTTGCCCAAGGCAAAGAGCCCTTGGCACCAGCTGGTCCCTTCTGTGGGCTCCACTGTAAGCAGGAACTGAGCTTTTATGTTGGTGTTGACCTCTCAAGTTAACTTCAGAAAACATTAGCAAATCTGATGTGTCAAAGAAAAGAGTTTTTCAGTTCAATCCAGGTCTGATTTCTTTCTGCATAAAGGACAAAACCTTTTGGGAACTGAGCACTTGGAACCAAGGTTAAGAGCAGTAAACTTTCCTTCTTGCTCCCAGACTGAAATATCAGCAAAATCTTTGCTGTTAGGAGTATACACCTATCCCCACAGGGTCAGGTCAGTGCTTTAACTCCTTATTCAAAATTGAAATACCATTTTTGATGATCAGAGTTGGGTAAGGATCAGAAAAATGGCCTGCCACATTCCATATACCCTGACAAAAGTTTTTGCTCAGGAAATACTTCCCCTGCACAGCGTGATATTTCAAGATGATCTGCATTGCAAATGATTTGTAATGAAGCTGAATTAATATCTTCTTTGAATCCTCACAGCTCCTCCCTCAGGGCTGTATCTGTAGTCTCTTAACAGCATATAAACCCAGCTGTTTATTTGCCCAATGGAAACACAAGCCTGAAATCTCCCATGGGCACTGTATTCAGGGTCCATGTCCCTCATCTGCTCCTCTAAACTCTGCCTGGGAAGTGACACAGTGACAAAATGAGCAGAAACAGCCCTGGGATTAAGAAACTATTAGAGACCTGCAGTTGATCTCAGACTGGATATGGTTAGGAAATTGGATTAGGAAATGACTTTACCTGGAACTGGAGATTAATTGTGGTGGCTTGTGTTGGATAGAGGATTCATGTTTAGATGGAAAAATGAAATTGGGATTGAGGGGAAACTCTGACTTGGGGTCAGTTTAATTTGGATTTTCACGCTGGGGGGAACTGAGCACATCACATTTCTCTCTCTGATGTCTTTTGCTTGTTTGCATCCTGACCTTGCAGTTTTGGGCCCTGCAGCTGAGGGGATGCTCTGATGTCTTTCCAAGCATGGTGTGGGGCTGGCAGCTGACCACTGGCAGTGCAGAGCAGGGTGATGCTCACCCCTGGGAATTTCATGCCATCTGTCCTTGGCATTGCATGTACCATTTTTGTGCTGGTCTGTTCTCAGCTTGATGTCCAGCAGGAGCTGGAGGGAGACTCTTTGTTAGGAGCTGCAGTGACAGGACAAGGGGAAATGGGGACAAACCGAAAGAAAGAAATGTAGGTTAGACATTAGGAAAAAGTTTTTTCCCTGTTCTGGTGGTGAGACACTGTCCCAGGTTGCCCAGGGAGGCTGTGGCTGCCCCAGCCCTGGCAGTGTTCACAGCCAGGTTGGATGAGCCTTGAGCAACCTGCTCTGGTGGGAGGTGTCCCTGCCCAGGGCAGGGGTTGGGGCTGGATGGTCTCTAAGCTCCATTCCAACCCCTAAATTCTATGATTCTATGGTTTTCTTTCCCCCTACTCTACCTGCCAGGCATGGAATGCAGCTGATCCCAACCCAGGGCAGCCTCTAAATGACACCAAGGCTCAACAGAAGTTATTCTACTTCTGCTGATCCCTTGCCCTGTCTCTGTGGGAGGTGACCAGCTAGGCTAGGAACAAAACCACTGGCTCTGCAGCTCCAGGGGTTGCTGTGCACCCTGTCTATTATTGCCACCAGCTGAGCTTGGTGCCCAGATGTTTAGAAACTCGAGCGAAAACTTGTTGGGAGCCAGCAGGCAGGTAGGAGCCAGTTTGTTTGCTTTTGTTTTAGTTTGTTTGGGGTTTTTTTGTTTGGTTGGTTTTGTGTCACGGCCACCAACAGGGGCCAGCCACATCCCTGTCCTGTGTCACTAGGTCTATCCCCCCCCAGCCCTGCACAGCTGATTTAAGCCCCTGGGCTCCAGGGCGCATCAGCGGCCTGATTTTCCCAAGGAAGAAGAGTGATCCCTCACAACAATTCTTCCTCTCCACTCCTCCCTATCCCCGCAAGCCCTGAAGCCCTCAGCAGGGGCAGGTCGGGCCGCAGCAGAGGCAGCAGCAGAGTCCGGAGGAGGCATCGCATTGCATCGCATTGCACTGCGCATCCTCCCTCCCTTCCCACCTCCTCCCGCTGCAGCTTTCCTGCCTTCATCCCTCCATCCTCCCACCCCGCATTATCTCATTCCTGCATCCCTCCCTCCTGCATCCTTCCCTCCAGCATCCCTCTCCCAGCATCCCTCTCCCTGCATCCCTCTCCCTGCATCCCTCTCCCCGCATCCCTCCCCGCATCCCTCCCTGCATCCCTCCCCGCATCCCTCCCTCTGCCTGCGCAGAGCCGCGGACATGGCTCTCAGCAATTTCCTCTTCGCTCAGTGCATCTGCTATTTCCTGGCCTTTCTCTTCAGCTTCATCGTGGTGGTGCCTCTCTCCGAGAATGGCAACGACTTCCACGGCCGCTGCCTGCTCTTCACCGAGGGCATGTGGCTCAACGCCAACCTGACGGTGGAGAGGCAGCGCTTCACCGTGCAGGAGTGGGGCCCCGAGGCTGCCTGTCGCTTCAGCATCTTCACCGGGCTCCTCTCCCTGCTGCTGGCCACAGTGCAGGCCTGGAGGACACTCTTCTTCCTCTGCAAAGGCCACGAGGAGTAAGTATCCCATCCCTCCCGCAGGCTGGGGCACGTGGGAGCAGCCTGGGGGTGAAGATTTACATCATCTGCTTCCCAGAGGGGTTTGGGATGATGTGGTGCTTTGCCCACATCTGTCTGCACACACACCATGTGCTCCTCCAGCTGTGTCCAGGGACCTCTCTGGAGAATGCTCCTCTGCAGAGGTTTGGGATGAAGGGCCAAATTCACTGCTCTGTACCCACTGCCCATTGGCAATGGCACCATCTGGATTGTGCTGTTTCCCCAGAGGGGTTTGGGATGATGTGGGGCTTTGCCCACATCTGTCTGCACACACCCCACGTGCTTCTCCAGCTGTGTCCAGGGACCTCTCTGTAGGATGTTCCCCTGCAGGGATTTGGGGTGGGGAGCCTGATTCTCTGCTCTGCACCCACTGGGAGCTGCAGTGAGCATGAAGAGTGTTGGGGTGATGCTGGAGGTTGGGTCTCACAGGTGCCTCTTGACCATGGTCTCACTCTGTGTCCCTGCAAAGGAAACCCTTCCCCACGTGTACACTGAGTGTGTGAAAAACCTTGAAACAACACAGCTGTTCTAGAGGGGAAAGAAGGGAGAAGTTGGTGGCTCACCTCTATTTTTTAATGCTGCTTTTGATGTGGACATGGCAACTATTGCAGAGAACAACTATTGCTTGGTTACGGCATGAGAAGAAGGCTGAGCACTCCCTGCAGTTCAGGAGGTACAGTGAGAGGTTTGGTGGAGCAGGCTCAGGAGCACTGTGCTCTGTGCTTGCCTCTCTGGTGGCCTTAGAGGGCACAGGTCACCCAGTCTCTGGGTGCTACAGGACCAGGGCTGGAATATGCACTGGTCTAGACTAGGAAAGTCATTTTCCTGTGGTTTAGGGACCATGCCAAGGGTAAATCACTCCTGGCCAGATCTATTTGGACTATAGGTCTCTTGAGTCCAAAGGCTGTTGCTTCTATCTGGGCTAGATGGTAATATTAGGGACCAGGTAGAAGTGTTATATCTTTGGCTCTTTCCCACCACACTCAAGCTGCCTAATACAAAAAAATGCTGTAGGAAGTATAGACTAGAATTTATTTGTATATTAAATACAACCACATACTTCCTACCTTCGAATTCATCTTCCTCAGGTGATCCAATACCTAGAGAGGATTAATTGAATCTAGATGCTTTGCAGTTCAGAGCTAGTTAGTTTTTTTGGAAGAAATCAGAAGTAAAATCCTTATATAGTGAAATATGGATTAGATTTTTGGCCCAATTTCAAATGTGGCTATTCACTGCAAAACTGTTGGGCAGGGCCTTGAAAATTGTCCCTTTAGGAGTTGGTCCTTTGGGCTGTGTCTGCAGTTGTATAACACTGTTCAGAATTGCTCCAGGCAAGAGAGGCAGAAGGGTGTATGGTGGTGAGGAGCAAGGGGGGAGCAAGTTGGGATGATGAGATAACCACAGAGCATCACAGAAGGGTAGAAGAAGCTGCTTGGGAACAGTGTTTTCCTGATGAGTTCTGTCCTGTAGCACATCTGACACTGTCTGTGTGAAAAGAAGGACAAGTGCTGTTTGGATTTGGCCATTTGGCCATGTGTTTATGCTTCAAATGGGCACAAAAACCTCTCTGTTTGGATGGAGACTTAAATGTGAGCTCCTCACCATACATGATAATTGCCTTTTCTGAGTAGAGTTAGTTGAGGAAGTACCTCTCTTTCATTTTATCCCCATTACTCCTTGTCCTATCACTCCAGCTCCCACCAATTCCAAACTGCCACCTAGAGCAGTTTCAAGCAGAGAAAGGATGAGAAACTTTTCAGTAGCTAGAATTAAGGAGAGGAGTTAAACAGTGATGTTGTAAAATGAGAGAATCATTCTCTGGCCTTATGGGACCACTGGAAGCATCTCCCCCCATTCCCTTCCAAACACAGCACATGCCTAGGGCTGGTCCAGACTCAATGGGGCTGAGGAAAATTGCTGTTCAGCTGGCAGATCTAACACACTGACACCAAAGGCTGAAAAGTCCCAGGAGAAGCTGGGACTGCTCTGCAAATTGCCCATAAACCTGAGATTCGTGTCCTGTGATGGTAATACCTCGTGTTACATTGCTTGAAATGAGTCTAACTATCAGGACTGTGTTTTTATTTTTAGTTTCCCTCTCCTAAGCAATTCTGGTCCCAATTATCACTTTAGTCACGCAATAATTTTAGCTCCAGTTAGTACCTAATTTGAGCTAACGGCACTTACTTGAACAATGGTGATTTTCATCATTGCAGCTCATGAAAGCTCTGCCCTGTATGAACAATCACCACTTAGTATTTGTGTTTCAGGCCTCAACCTCTTAGGGTGAAAAAAACCCAAACCAGAAGCACTTGCAAATGAAGATAATGTGACTCAAAATCATAATCCGCAGTGTCTCCATGTATTAAGTGCTCTTAATTAAAGCAGAGTTGGTTCAAATGGGATCTGCTATCTCCATGCCCAGTGGAAGCTGCTTGCAGAGAGAGTTGCTGATGTGGTGGTTCAGCTGTTTATGAGTTACATTTTTCTTGCCTTTTATTACAGCTCTTTCTTCTACGCCTTCCTGAATCTGCTGATCAGCTCCTTTGTGGTGTTCATCACATTTATTGCCAGCACTATAGTGAGTGTAGGATTTAACATGTGGTGTGATGCAATTACTGAAAAAGGAAGCATGCCAAATAGGTTAGTATTGAAGATGACATTTTCCTCCCTTTTTTTACTCCACGTATGCACAATTGAACAGTGATGTGACAATTGAGCAGCGATGTAGTTATTACACACCAGGTGAGCAAGGGGGAGAAGACATCTGTAATGTGCAAATCCAGATTGGTTTTCAGCTGGAACAAAAAAAAAAAAAAAAAGCAAGCAAATCCAACTTGTTGTTGTTGATGTGGTGCATTTAGAAGCTCTGAAAGAAAAGTATGTTTCCATGGTGTTTCGTGGGCTCTTTGAGCCATGAGTTTATGCACAAGAAATGCTGTAGGTTGGAGGTTTATTCCCAAAAGGAGAGGTAGGTTTGGGAGTGTTCTAAGAATGGGGGAGTGTGGGATTGTGAGCAGGGCTGGGGACTCCAGGCTTGGAGTCCTGGCTGTGCCACCAACCCAGTGTGACAGAGGGCAGGTCACTCCTCCTGCCTGTGCCAGCACCAAGCAACAGTTTGGGAGAGAAATGTTGGCCTGGTAGTGATGCTGTGGATGCTCTGACAGCCACAGAATGCCAAGTCCTTTGTAAATGCAAAGTACAGATGGCTGTTGCACAAAATATTCAGCTCCTAAAATGCTCTGCTGTATCCCACGATGCTTATGCTCCTCATAGGAAACATGATAAGTCGAGGAAGAATGTTTTTCCCTATCAACCAAATAATGATGAAGAGAGAGAGAGGAAAAGGTGACATTTTATGTCATATGATCTGGACTAAATGTACTACTGACAAGCTACATTTCTGTTGCACATTGTCATATGTTGTAAAATGTCATAGTAAATGTTCTGTTTAGGGCTGCAACGATTAATTATTCGAATATTCGGTTACAAATTCAATTGCCAAAAACATCCAATCGAATATTCGGGTAAGAACCCAAGATGATCGACAGCACTGAAAAGGAGACAGAAGAGGCTGCAGAAATCAACCAAGAGCTAGAATGACCACCTCAAAATCCTGGGATTTTTTATCACAGCCATAAAGGTCAAGTTATTTGTAAAATCTGTAGGCAGCCTCTATCTTACCATCAGAGTTTCATCTCCTTGCTGGAGCAGCCGAAACAAAAACACAATCTCTTCTGCTGAGGCTTTTCCTGAGGAAGTCAAAAGGTAACAGAGGCTCCTACACTTTGTTTCATTGAGGGGTGAAGCAACCAAGCTGGGGTGATGCCAGAGGTGTCTCTGTGGGAGGAGAGGGGGCAGTGGGGAAGAAGGATTTAAGGATACTGGTTTCATAAGAACTGTTCCAATTCCACTCATGGAAGACTGGTGTTATCACTTACATAATGATACATTGATTTTTTTGCTTAAAGAAAGGAATTCCATGCCTTTTTTTTTTTAGTTTAGTTTTAGAGAAGACTGGCAAGCAACCAGGTCATTGCAGTAGCTTAAGTATCTTTTGATAGAACATACCATTGTGACTGGTCAAAATACATTACAGATGTTGCTTCACATGATATTTGTTTTACCTGGAATCTCTGAAATAATTTTCCTTTTTTTTTCCCTTCCAAATGCCTTTCTGGGTAGCTGTGAAGAATTACAGGATTTAGATCTTGAACTGAACTTGGAAAACTCTGCTTTCTATGACCAGTTTGCTATTGCACAGGTAGGTCAGACTAGGTCATGGTTCTATTCCAGTTCATTTGCCATTGCTTATTGATCTGGGATTGCTGGAGCTGAACTCCCATTGCTCAGAGATCAATGGGAATGTTTCCACTGACTTCAGTAAGTGCTGAATCAGGATGACAGTGATGGGTACATTTGCATTTTGCATCCAGAATAGATAGTCTTGAATGCAGAGATGTCAAAACCTCACCCTGCCACTGATCTGGTTAATCATGATGGAAAATTCATTGCTTCTCCAAAGGGTGAGGTCAGCAAAAGCTGCAACACAGTGTCCTGGAGCTTTTCCTTATTGTTCAGAATAATGTCTGAGCTGCACCAAATCACAGGGCTATTAGCTTTGCCTTCCCTGAGCTGGTCTAAGGTTGCCTGAGCTGTATAAATATCAGACCATTGATAATACTGAAAGATTAATGTCATTTAAACAGGGCTGTTTTCTGAAGAATCCAGGAGAACTGGACCTCTAAGGCTGTCAGAGCTTTCTAGTGAATATTCCAGCTCTAAGTCAGCATTCAAAGTCAGTGAACACTGAGGCCTGAGCATGTACTGGTTCTGCAGGTCAAGCCCTGCAGGTCCAGCCCCTACACATGGTCCTTGTGTTGTCCTACATGGACAGAGGCATTAGCTTGCCTGGGGCACTCCTTGAAGGTAACTGTGCCTCTTGCACATGAGCTAGTTCTGTGTCTGCACTGCTAGCATTGCCATCTGGATGCCTAACCCAGATATATCCCCATTTAGGGCAGAAATGTGCTATAAAAGTGACCTCTTTATCTGAAGAAATCAGGTCCTCACTTGGTTTATCTTGGTGTGACTCCACGGGTTTTTCTCCTGAGGTTTTGATATAGCCCTGGACAGCTGACTTTGATTTAACCATACAATACTGACCTCTTTTTTATTTCTTTTCATCTCTAGTTTGGTCTCTGGGCTGCCTGGCTCACTTGGCTGGCAATTACCATCCTGGCTTTCCTGAAGGTGTACCACAACTACAGACAGGAGGACCTGCTAGATAGCCTGATCCATGAGAAGGAGCTGTTGCTAGGAAGATCCTCTTCACGATCCTCTTTGCAAGATGAGAAAAGTGGCATGATTTAAAGCCTAAGCCAATTCCCAGGGCAGGATCTAGATTTTGTTATTCAGTAGTGTGAGCTGAGTCAAAGCATTGAGTGTGTGAGATCTCTTCTTTCCTGAAAAGAGATGTACTAGTGAATACCCCACTTCCTCCAGGAGAAATTGTTGGCAGAAATACTTCTATTAGAATGAAGAGAATGAACTGCCCCATGTGCCTTTGGCACAATCTGTAACCTGCTCTTCCTAGCAGAGCTCCTATCGTTGGCTTTTGGGATGGGCTAGTTTTGAGGACTGAGTTGGCAAGATCATGCTATTTCTTCAAACTATTCAACACTGGTTGTAACTGGAGCTGTGTTCAGCCCCTCTTCCCTCCCTCTCCTCCCTTTTGCCTGGAAAGCTGTACCTCTTCTTTCTTTATTCTGGGTCACTGCAGCTCTGTCTTTGCTGTCTTTGCTTTTGCTCGGTATGGATGCAGTGCTGACAAACGTGTTGCTCCTGCTCTGATTTTCTTTAGAACATAGAGACCTGTGTTGCAGACTTGGTATTTAATATTGGACAGTGCTAATGAATTCCATGAAACTGCTTTTTTACAGCATATTAGAGATACAGTGTATATATATACTATATATATAGTATATATATTACAGTATCTGTCAAAAAGTGTGTGTCTTTTCAAAGGCTGGTGGAAAAACCTCTGTGGTTTTGTTTCTTCTTAGCTTTTGGCCTGAGCAGCATTTATTATGCCTCCTGAAGTGTAGCTAGCAATTACTGAAGCTTGCATACAAAGAAGTTAAGCTGAATAGCTAGTACCAATGCTTGTGCACCTATAAATGTAAACTTGGTCCCTACCATTGTAGACTATTCTGGTTTGAGTATTCGAATTTATTGGTGATATTTATTTCATTCAGGGTATGCAGAATTGCTGTAAACATTAGCATTGTAGGTATATATATATCTCTCAGCATAGCAAGGAGTTCAAACAGCTGAGTTATGTTGTAGTGCTGATTTGGGTCTGTTGTCCCCACTCAGGGACAGGAATTCCAGGGCAGATGAATTTTGCTGTGCAAAGGGAGAAGAATTGCTATGTACAAAGCTCACTAGTGACTACATTGTTGCTTTCAGTTTTGCTTGGCCAGTGCTTGAAAAATAAGGTGGATGGTTGTAACGAGAGGTAGATCCAACAGTTAAGAAGGATCACTCAGGGGAGTAAAGGATTTGCATCACACAGAAATTAGGTGTACTAGAATTTGGCAGTTATTCCCAGGTCCCTTTTGTTAGGAGCTGCAGTGACAGGACAAGGGGTAACAGGTTCAAGTTGAAGGAGGGGAAATTTAGGCATGATGTTATGTAGAAGTTTTCCCTGTGAGGGTGGTGAGACCCTGTCCCAGGTTGCCCAGGGAGGCTGTGGCTGCCCCAACCCTGGCAGTGTTCACAGCCAGGTTGGCTGAGCCTTGAGCAACCTGCTCTGGTGGGAGGTGTCCCTGCCCTTAGATGATCTCTACGGTCCATTCCAGACCCTAAAATTCTATGATTCTGTGTTTCTGTGAAGTAGCTAAGTCCTTCACTGCCAGGGAATGACTTCATCTTCACAATGAAGAAGAGGTTGGGTCTTGAAACTTAGCCTATTTCCTGTGTTTCCCCAGTTGTTTCTCTGACCGTAAAACTTAAGATTCAGCAGTGATATCTCTTCCCACAGATGACTTCAGTGCATGCCTTACTCCCCATGGGGAACTATGCTGCTCCTTTGTATAATGGATTTTATTTATGTGTCAAATCAGGCTTAGGCTGATGCAACCTGTGGGTTGGGACCACAGTTCGTGCTCTTGCCTTAGGTTCTGAAGAAACAGGAGGCAGAAGAAAGAGAATCCTAGAATTTTAGGGGTTGGAATGAACCTTACAGATCACCTAGTCCCAACCCCCTGCCCTGGATAATAAGTGTCTTCTCATCATCCTTGCTCTGAGGTACCAGGGCTCAAGCCTTGTCTCTGGTTCTGAGTGGGGAAGAAGATGCTGCTCATGGGTGAGGTTGTCTGGAGCTCATGTTCTCTTCTACCTCTCTTTTCTTCTGTCTCAAAGCCCTTTCCTCCTTTCCACCTCCATGAGAAGCAGCAAACACTGATCCTGGAGTAGCAGTTGCCATATAAACTGAAGAAGGCTGAGGCTCTTCTTTGAGTCCCACATGCATCTCAAAGTGTTCACAGCCAGGTTGGCTGAGCCTTGAGCAACCTGCAGGGTTGGTTGCCCAGGGCAGGGGTTGGGGCTGGATGATCTTTAAGCTCCATTCCAAACCCTAAAATTCTAGGATTCTATGCAGCTAACAACTGCACTTTGATGCTCTCTTCACGCAGAAAGGACCTGCACTCTCTCAGAATACTTAACATTTGTTTCTGAGAGGTTAGAATAGAATTTGCTTAAGATGAAATAGGCAAGTACTGCTCGATTCAGTGCAGGCACCTAATGGATAGTGTCTTTTCTTCCAAGAGCATTTGCATAGCAAAGCTTTCTCTTTCGTTTCTTTTGTCCATGCCAAAGAGTGTAATTGAACCGCTGTTGCAAACACAGATTAGTGTGATTGTATTCACCTGAGTGCTTAGAACTCTCTACCTCTCACAGCTGCTGTAACTGCTTCAACTGGTAGTGCACACAGTGAACTGAATCCACGAGAGTCGAAATCTTATTTCCATAGATAGTGAAAGGATTTAGGATTTAATGCTTATTAGCTTTGTTGGATCCTCATTCCTAAAAAAAATGGGCATAGGCACTCAAGAAGGGCTGTGTAAATAGCCATTTGAGTTGGTCAAATAATGATTTGGTTTGGGTTTGGAATGATTTATTTCACATTTTTCTCACCAAAAAAAAAAAAAAAAAAAAAAAGCCAGCAACTGGGATTTGTTAGGCATGAAGGGTTATTCTAGATGCCCCTCAAACCCACCTATTCTACTTGGCTGGAAATTCCTGAAGAACAATGTTTTATCCTGGTGATTCTGGTGTTTCTCAAGGAGATAAAGTACTTAGCAGCAAGAGATGTTGACTGAAGTAGCTTGAATTGTTTGGATATGGTGGAAACCCAATGGGAGAAGTTTTTGTTCTCCCTTTCCACTGGACCATGATGTGAAGTGAGGGTTGAGACAACCTGTCAGGAGGTGGGAATGAGGATTCATTGTTATATTAGACACTCTGGGTGTTTTCTCACGGAAGTGGGTAAACAGTTCTGTGACAAAACTACTCCTCATCTCCTTCCTTTCCCCTTGTTTCCCCCCAGATTTGGACCAGTTTGACTCCAGTCTGTACACAAACTCTGAAGAGTATTTATAAACGTGAGAAAAATTCCAGTCTCTTGGGCAAACTTGTGTCAAAAAAACCAACCCAGACACAGATTTTCCCTGTTCTCATTTGGGCTCTCTGAGCTGTGACATCCAACCCTTCCCTTTACATAAGCCAGGCCTGATTTGGGTGACAAGTTGCTCTGGGAAGTTTCCAAGGCTGGTGCCAGAAGTCTCTCGAGGAACTTGGTAGAGTTAGACATGTGCTATGTTAAACCATAGATTTTAAGGCAGGAAAATGTTTGAAAACTGTCTGTATATCCCACATAACACAGTCCAGAACTCTTCACCCCCTCAGCTCCTGCAGCAGGAGTTATTTTTCCCTGTGTTCACACTGTGAAGTGCAATGGTTTGTGGCTGAAACACTCTGGATCTAGGTGGTATCAGTTAACCCATTCCACTTTCTAGGCTGCTGCAACAGTTTTAGTCATCATTGTTAAACCAGTGCCCAGCATTTGGCTTCACAAGGTGCTGGCAGTTCCCTTTTCCAATCACAGTCTTTAGAAGCAGCCAAACATTTGCCAAATGGTGCCAAGAAGTTCCATCCTGAACAGGTTGAGGGTCCACAGCCAGTGCAGACTGATGGTGTCAGAGCAATTCTGCTCAAGTACTCTCTGATTAAAACAGCCCAAACTACCCAATTGAGAAATCAATATATTGTGGTCTGAAGTTGACTCCTGAGAGGTGTTGGAAGGTTTATAAACAGAATAAAACAACAGAAAACCACAACAGTTCCACTGACATCTCCTTCCCCTGGATGTTTTAATCTTCAATAGCATTCCT